TGATATCGAGATTGGTGTGGAAATACAGTATCTAGACACTGGATGTCAGACAACGGAAAAGTTAATGAATGTGATTGGCACGGATCATCAGCGCCAAATATTGGCTCTGAACCAACTGTGGGTACCAGCTTCTATGGGACGGAATCAGATCAGGAAATGGGTTTAGAGGGCATTTGAACCAAATAGGGCTGTCAAATAGAGATAATGAAACAAAGAGAAAATGACAACTCGTCATATTTTATTTGAATTTGGATAACAGGAGGCACGAAATTTATGTACAATCCGAATTATATCTAGAAGAATATAATAAACATTCAACAAAGGATCTGTACAATTAGTTCAGGAAACAATATTGCTGGAATGGACATTATGAAGATAAGAGGAAAGTTTTTCGGAGACATAAAAAAAATAATTCAGACAATTCGCAAGTAGCAAAAAATGACCTCTTGTTGTAGAATTTGGAACCTCTGATATGGATTGAATCTTTTGAAAACCCTTTTCGCTTACTAGAACAAAACTATTGTTTTGTTTACCAAGTTAACTCAATCAGTATATTAAATCAGGTAAATTCATTTCCTGGTTAGCGAAACGCGCGGTAAGAAACCGTATTTTCATCCTGGTTAAAGAAAAGTGTTTTTAATAGAGTAATGTTTTTGACTGCTGCAAGAATATCGGATAAAATTAAATGTACAAGAGTTATCTAGAAAAATTTACACCATCAAGATTATCCTGAAAACCTTTCAGACTACCTGTACATGGAATCAAATTTTGATTCTGAAATGTTCCGTGTAGGCAGAGCCAGCTGTGACAAAAACTCAATTCCGCATTCACTCCATATTCCATTACTGTATAAGCTTATGAAGCACGGATGGACTGTTTATCAACGATATGAGATACAGTAGTTGTATAAAAAGGTCGATTGGTGGGATCAGACTCGGAATCCAATCAGTGTTTGGCAATCAGCGGTAATGGGAAGGCATCGGCCGCGAATTTACCGGGTAGAGAGAGGCGATGCCGTCGATACACCAGATATCGATATCTTTGAATGGTCTCGCCGTTTGGGACAACTATCCAGAGAATCATGAATTACACCGACCATTACCCCACCGCAGGATTAAATGAATTCGTTGGTTTCGAGCACTGCTGTTCTAGCTAATGAACCAGGTGGTGTAATTGGTTCGTGTTCGAATTATGAACTATATTATGAACTATATTCTATTAATGTTTGTTTGGTGACTTTAGGCGAATATATGAATTAATTTGCTTGATATGAAAGGTGATTTACATTTGCCGCTATTCGTGAAAAATCCACAGTTTTCCTCAAAAAACTCGGGAGGTTCGAGATTAATGGAGTATTTTTTAAAAACAAAGACAGGTTGAAAATTTGATAACAGTTGTGTGTAGAAAAGTTGATTTTTTTACTTTAGTTTCTAATAATGTGATGCTCCTGAAGTAATACATTGTTTCTGGTATATTTTTTAGCGATGATAGTTTCCTGTAAATATCTCAAGTCCTTGCAAAGTGATACGCGGTACCTATACGTTTTTATAAATAAATTCAAACTTCACAGAATTACCATCATGGTGTTTTGAATTTATTGGAACCTCTGGAGGTACCCTACATTTTGTTTTATAAAAGAAAGGACATTGGCATATCAAGATCTTTAGGTGCTGCAGGTTTTCTCGTGTTTTTCTGCAGCTGAAAGAACAATTGCGCCACTGGAATCAATGAAGTCGCCCTGGAGCGCCAATTAATTTCTGTTGTTCTTTCATAATTTCATGATTCATATTACTTTCTATATTCAAATTCAAGCATAGAAGTTTCAGTATTGTTAATTTTTTCATTAATGCTGACACCAAGATAAAAAAGTTAACGTTTGACTTCAAAAAGGCTTACAAGAAATATATCAGGGCATTCCACGCCATAAATACAACCTACATCAACGAATGGCTGGGAAGGCATCGACGAGGGCAACTTCAGTTTCAAGTTTAGCTACAAGCAAGTGTCTTGCCAAAACGTCGTGATAATTCCGGAGTTGAACAGATGTACACCCGGAATGACAATAATAAAATCACATTGAGTGAAATCGGAAGAAATACCAAAAGCGGAATGATTCCGTTCTTGCTAACAGTAGCTGAATCTATATTTTTCATCTGTCAAGAAAGAATACTTCCAGAATATGTAATACGGTTGCAGAAAAGTAATATAAAACATTTATTGATCATGCCAATATTCTAGATATGACAAAAACATTTTTTTTTTAGTGTCGAACGAATATCAGAGCGATAGTACTGTGATTCTTTTTTTGTATCTTTGCTAACACATATTAGACAATTACCTTCATATCACCATAGGCATTTTTTTGCATTCAAAATATCCCAAATATTTTTGGCATATTAGAGAGTCTCATGGGGAACTCTCCACAATGAATGCTCAAGTACTATAAAATGGAGTTAGCAGATAGTAACAGATTACAGCCGTTTCTGCGCCTCCCCCCACCACTATGACGTATTAATTGCTTTTTTTTGTTGTTAAGTAACATCAAGGTGATGTGACCTTGAAGTGTCTGGTGCATGGATCATTCAGAATTTTTTTTCATATGAGATTTTGTGTGTGTGTGACATAATGACGTAATTACATTTGGTTGGTTTGTGTGTGTGTGTGTGTGAGAATGCACGGTACAGGGTTTCATCAAGTGCTTGTTTATGTACGAACATAAGTCTGCATACTTCAAAGATCCACCGAATAATGAATGTTCCATCGGTGTGATCCCATTAAGTTAGTACGTCTACATACTACACTTTCAACATTGAAATGATCTCTACATACGTCACACCATGTCGGCAAGGTGACTTTGAAGAAGTCTTTACACTCAGACAAGACAACTTTGAAGTAGTGGGTTTGACATACATGGTAATGTTAGGATTTGACTTTATCCTTCATGTGTACTCTGTACACATCAGTATTGAATATTGCTTCGATCGACTTCCTATTTTCATGAAATGGAAAATCATAATTTACTGATGAAAATTATGCAATCATCATGAAAGAAACAGTAGTGGTACTGTTAGGAAAAAGTTCATCTGAAAGAGCATTTTGTCACCACTGGTATCCAGTCTTGCTCCTCCGGAGTAAGATTGGCTCAACTCATATCCATAACAGTTTCCAAAAAAGCCAAGGTAAACGTACTGAAACCTCTGAAGCAGAGAGATAAAACTATCAGGTAATGTTGATTATGTGGGGATGATACTGGAGATCAGACTGACCTGGAACCAACAATCAAACAAAAATAGTGAAGATAGCTTTGGCCAGATGCATCGTCTAGTTTGATAGCAGGAGATGAAATGAGCAGTTGATGTCAACAAAATAAATTCGATGCAAGAACTCGCTCCTTTGGCAAAAAGGGGCAGTGGAAACTACTTCAGCAGACACTCTTGAACCTTACACATTTACATCTTGTGATAACGGGGAAGGCACTTTAAGGTGGAAATCCACACCACAGTCTTCCGTATTCAGCTAAACTAGTGAGTTCACTGAATGAACTGAGATAAAGTTCGTTGTTTCAACTTCAACTTTTCGAATCTGATAATCTCTCCAGCATATTACTCCACCCGCACGTTGTTTCGTTCATTGAGGTCGTGTATGCAGAGGAAGATTGACTTGCCAGTTCTATCTTTTTGTAGTACAAAGAAACAGCGAAAGTCATTTCTCCGAAAATAATTCTGCCATAATCTAAGCAATTTGCTCTTGTTTTCGAACAAGTCTTCTTTGGTGAGTCTGTTCCAAATTAACAAATGAGAATGTGGATGGAGAATAAATCAGGAAACAAATATTATTAGTTTCGAATCATCAATGCAATCTGCTCATCGGAGGATTTATTTTTTAGGTTACAACTAGCAAAAACTATTTGATTCATTCAACCATTTTTCCTGAAGTCTTGTGGAAGCTATATGAATGTTGGAAATTATTTGAATTAAAAAATGTTTTCAAGATGAAAACTGAAAGAAACCGTTTTTCCGAAACAACTATCTCAATTGTGAACATTGAATCGCACTAAAAGTACTGTTTTCTTCAGTTTGTACACCTGAGATGAAGTGATAAATTTTTCCTTCCCTTCAGTTTCGATGTATTTCTTTGGAAGTAGAAAGCCAAAATGGTTTTCCTCAAACTATAATAATCTCTTCTGAAAAATACATTATCAATGGATTTTAAGAACCTATCTTCGTTAATATCTTCTGACTATTCCGAAATTTTCATGCTCAAGATACGTTAAGGTGCGTATTCACCAAAAAAGCGAGCACGAGCAAGCATGAGCGATCATTCTTGTATGTTTGCTCGTGTTCGCTCATGTTCGCTCATGTTTGTACTCACCAGACGATTATTGTTGCAGAATGCTCGTTCATTCTTTTTCGCTCTGGTTCGCTCGTGCTCGCTTTATTGGTAAATACGCACCTTTATTGATCATTCAAGTTCAAGTTCGAATCAGGAATTATTGTTACAATATCTGTTAATAAACGCTGTATCGAAAGTTTTGTTGTTAATTTTTGTGTATGTGCCTGGAGTGTCGCTCAGAATAGACTATAAATAGCCAATCAATTATCAGTATAGGTGTTGAGAATGTTTTTTCTAGCTAACACATATTTGACAGTAAAATTTCAATAGAAAAGATTACTATTCTGGGTGAATCACTTTAAAAAAGTAACACACGTAGAAAAATCATCATCATCAATTACTCTTTCTATTTACTTTTTCAGATGATCTCTGGCGAACATTCCAGAGATCGATAAGTTAGCAGCTCTCAGTAGAAGTAATTGTTGTGCAAAGAGAGAGTAAAAGTTTTTATTGAGTTAGAATATATTTCATGTGAAAGATACAACTCCGTGGAGTTTTCTATATGTGAGTGAAATACGTCGGGGCAAAGGCATCGCTTATCAGAAAGTTTCAGAAGTTGACACAATGTGGTCCCTCAGATGAGTATTTCGCAAACTCCTTTGTTGGGGTGAGTTTGAATCGATTGCAATTAAACAGAATACAATGAAGAGTTAGCAATGATTCTCCAAGACTTTTGTGTATCGCGAAATTCTGAAAATAAAATGCAGTTGTATTATTCGCCTGACTTTCATTTGGAGTATTCATTCCATCCAATAAATATTTACAGACAGGAAACCAGTTCAAATAATATATTACACACTATATATTCTAGATCTTATATATTGACTAGTATTCCCATGTGTGAAATGTATTTTTTTTTACAAATTTCAGAAAGAAATGTTCACATATCATTGTTACTGGGTCGATTCAAATCAGCGTTATGAAAGTGATACCGCACAATTTCTTGTTTTTTCATTATAACTACTTCATATATGAATTTAGTCTCCATTAGGTTTTGTAGCAGTTCCTTGAATTAAATGACATTNTGACTAAGGAGCCCGAAAGCGGTCTGCAAGTGTGCTTGTTCCAAAACTGAAGTTCGATTCTTTCAGTTGTATTGCCACTAGCATATGCAGGAAATTTTCTATGAAGATTCCTGCACTGATGCCTGTCGGATATAATCCAACACCGTTCGTAGTATTAGCCAGTGGAGTAGTTGTTTTCTGATAGGCGTCAGTCCATTCAAGGGGCTTGAATATTTGAAGTTCATTTCTTCAGATTTGTTTACTGCATGTGTTCAAGCATAGCTCAGTGACTAATAAGAAAGACATGTTTGTATTCAACACTCCTTCGTCAAATCAACATTTGATTATTTTTTTAAAAAGTGCATTTTTGAAGTTCACTTTTAAAAAGTGAGACATAGAAAGTTTGCCTATCAGTGACTTTATCTTGAATTGACTAAATCCATATTCCTGATATTGAAAAGTAGATATCTGCAAATGGAGAATTTGAATACCTATTTTAAATGAGCTGGTTTTTGCTGAAATGAACTGTGTGTTGTTGGTTGATTTGAAACTGACAAGAAATTCTATTTTTGTTAGAATTGAATGTTGGACTGTTGAAAATAATAATAATAATGATACTGTATTAGCCTTTTTGACAACTAGTTGNGATATATTCGGGAGGGCGCGCCAGCGCATTATTATTATTATTATCTGTTCATTGTATTGGTGAGTTTAATTTAATTTACATACTCAGTAATGTTGTCTCATTAGAATTAGGATCCAGTTATTGACATGATCAAGCATTTATGCAAATTATTATTATTTATTCACAATCATATTTGAATGATTTCACCGGTTTCTTTCGATTAGGACAGTGCCACTGATTGAAACTGTGAGAATGGTGCATAACTAGGTCCTGAGAATCACGTATGGTTTAAGAATAATGACACCTAGATGTTGATGAAATGAATAGAAATAATGGATAAGAGGAAGTTTTAATATTTTCTTGAAGATGATCACTTGGTGATCGAAACACGTGTCGGAATGTTAAAAATAACGATTTGTTGTTGGGAAAAACTCCAGTAATATTCATTACTATACGAAAGATTCCAAACAGAAATCAAATCGAAAGATGAAATACTTCTATCCATTTCTGCCAAATTTGAATTTTTTCCATCCAAAGAACGTAAAGTGTGAACATTTTCAAAACATTTCAGTGACTGATATCATACTAATTTTTTTCAGTTTACCCACTCATCACAGATATCACTGCACAGTTGGGTGTTAGGAATTAGAAGTTAAAAGGTAAGACCACGTTAGTCCTCAGTTCGCACAAGTTTTTCAACTTTTGAGAGTTGTCGTTCGTATGGGGGCGACAGCTGATTACCAGAAATACAGATTTTAAACAGTAGAATGCGCAGAACGATATAATCCGTTAAAATTTGTCAAATAATTTAATGATTATTACTGGAGTTTTCTCCCAATACCAAACTGTTATTTTCAACACCTCGACACGTGTTTCCCTCACAAGTGATCATCTTCAAGGGAAAGATTGAATCTTTTGATGTTCCTCTTGAAGATAATCATTTGGTGATCGAAACATGTATCATGGAAGATTGAATCTTTTGATCTTCTTCTTGTATTGTGCAGAAATATGAAAAGATTAAGGACATGATGATTCGTAACATTTCATCGACAATGAATGAAATGTACTTCATCTTTGAACTAATTTCTAGTCTATTTTCGAATAACAATGATTTATTTCCATTACAAGTTAGCTTGTATAGTTAGTTTTTCTTTGTCATTATCCCATTTCTCGACTTCATTTTATCTTATCTGGAGATTCGAATCTATCAATATTTTCAAATAAAGGAAACCCAAATCCACAATATTCAAGAAATTGCATTTTATAGATCTCCGTTCGAAGATCAAATGAAAGAAATGTTAATTTTTGAATGAAAATTATAAATATTTGAAATAACATTTTCAGAAACCCATCTTTTCATATAAAAACTGATATATTCTTTTGGTATGAAATATGTTTGAGACAAACACTGCTCTCATACACCAAAAATAGGTGCACTGTTTTGGATTTGTTGATTTGTAACACTTTTTTCATTCAGATATTAGGTATTTCTACTATATTGTTCACGAATTGAGGTTCATGTACCAATCTATTTCATTCTAATACTTTCAGGTTTTCTTTTGCTGTTGCTATTTAATATTTTATAAGTGGGTACCTATTGATTGATATGCCTATTGATATGCAGGTAGGTTCTTTGTATAGCGTAAATGAGCATCAAGAAAGGAAATCAGAAATGTCCAACACCGAGGGGGAGAAATAGGGGTTTAAAGATTGTATTGAATTCCGTTAGTTTTGAAATTGTAAACCTGAAGATGTATGTTAATAAAAAAATATTGTAACTATTTGTTTGAAATAGTCTGTCACGAAACTTAATGTGACAAACCAAATTTTTCGAAGGCGAAGCCGCGGGCAACAACTAGTATATTAATAAAAAAATATTGTAACTATTTGTTTGAAATGGTCTGTCACGAAACTTAATGTGACAAACCAAATTCTTCGAAGGCGAAGCCGCGGGCAACAACTAGTATTATGATATATCAAGATAGAAGTATAGGAAGCATTCCGATGAAGTTGGATTCATTGAAGAAATATTGAAAGCTACTTTCATGTGCTGTTTCTGTTACTTCCTGTGAAGTGCCGATGAGATAAGTGATATCAATGATACCACAGTATTGTCAAAAATGCTTCATTTAATATCGTGAAATCTTGACATCCTTGATGGTGATGATTATCTATCTCAAAACTCTTGCTATTTTCTGTTCTAGTTAGCTTTAGTTAATATAATTCATTAGTTCTAAGTGTTTCTGAGTGTTTGGCAGGACAAGACGGTAGCACATACAAGTCCCCACTAAGTATATGGCCAGTCTGTATAATTGTCTTGATAGATGATACCATTACATTTGGAACGAAGTATCGGATTTTACTTTCCGTGATACGAAGACTATATCCAGCCCTTCGTATTGAACTGGTTGTTCTTATGAAATTGGCTAGCTGCACTTATTCCATATCAACATTTTCATTTTACCATGTGAAGAGACTGAAATCGATTGTGTTCTAGTTTTTCGTCATGAAAATAGAAAAACAGTCATGTTTATGCAAATATATTTCCAATAAAAATAATTTCGAAATTCCAAGTAACTTCGTGAAATGTAATTAGTTGACTGTGAATAAATATTTTCAATTGACTTCATCCATTGTGGCTATGTTGCATTCTAGTAAGATCTAGTAGATAAGAAAAATCATTTTTGAAATGAATATTGGGAAATGAAGTTTTGGGCTTTCTAGTACTCCATCTTGATACAAAAAAAGGAAGGAAGCAATCGATTTTATAGAAGGGTAAAGTGCTTCGTTACCTAACGCGATACAGCGCCAGTCTATCTGGCTTTACTTTCTCTCAAGCATACGTCAGCGGAAGGCAGGCTACTCCTCTCTCTTCGGACATACGCTCAGTGTTGGTGGTTTGACCAATCAACCGACAACTGCGGTAGCAGAAATTTGGGAAGCTAACCTGAAATGCCATCGGAAAACGAATCCACATGTTTCTAGAAATGATATGAAATCTAGAAAGGTTAATGCAGTCAAGCTGCTG